TTTGGCAATTTTGGCCACTGGTGGTCGTTTGGCGATTTTGGCCACTAGTGGCCGTTTGGCGATTTTGGCCACTAGTGGCCGTTTGGCGATTTTGGCCACTGGTCGTTTGGCGATTTTGGTTACTAGTGGCCGTTTGGCAATTTTGGCCACCAGTGGCCGATTGGCGATTTTGACCACTAGTGGCCGTTTGGCGATTTTGGCCAGTTGTGGGCCCTTTGGCAATTTTGGCCACTAGTGGCCGTTTGACAATTTTGGCCACCACTGGCCGTTTGGCAAATTTGGCCACTCAGAGATTGGCCGTTTGGCGATCTTGGCCACTAGTGACCGTTTGGCGATTTTGGCCACTAGTGGCCGTTTGGCAAATTTGGCCACTCAGAGATTGGCCGTTTGGCGATTTTGGCCACTAACATTTGGCAATTTTGGCCACTAGTGGCCGTTTGGCGATTTTGGCCAACAGTGGCCGTTTGGCAATTTTGGCCTCTGGTGGCGGTTTGGCAGTTTTGGCCACTAGTGGACGCTTGGTAATTTGGCCCCTACTGGCCGTTTGGCAATTTTGCCCACTAGTGGCCGTTTGGCAATTTCGGCCACTATTGGCCGTTTTAGCGATTTTGGGCACTAGTGACCGTTTGGCGATTTTTGCTTCTTGTGATCATAACCAACGGCGTGGCTTAACAGAATGATCCAGAAATTGTTATGGTATGCATGTCATCAATATCACTATCCATAACAAAAGTTAATCGCCTTGTAAACACTGCGACTTACTGTTTGTGAGGTTGTTTCGCCTGAAAGAATTATGTCGGACGTCCACGCAAAATCCTCAATCGTTTTAATGTTCGCATATGCGTAGAGGTTTCACCACTGCGACCATGTTATCCCAATAGCAAGGAGATTTACTATTTTTTCCACCTCGAGTTACAAATAATTTGCAGTTCATTGATGTTTTCACTTAAATTCCGCGTGTGGTTCCCTAAACTGTTTACGAAAGTCTACTTGAACAGACTTGAATGCAATTAGCTAATGCACACTTATATCAACAGCCAATCAAAACCGAAATTATATACGTTAACCTGGGGAACAAATTGCTTGAAAGGTCATCGCCGCAACCACAAAGGATACAGTCGGCATTTGCACTGATTGCTGTTTTTCTTGCCGCTACTCCGTGTTAAAAAAACGTAACCGGGTCAAATATTAGTGTCCATAGTTGATTTTTTTAAATTCAAATTTAGCGGATAATATTCATACTTTCTTTGTAGTTATCCTTTATTCCTGGCTACCATAAAGAAAAAAAACTTTTTAAAGGTCTTCTATCGAACACTGGCGACATCTAAGAATCATAAGCAGCTTTACAGAGTCACAAATACAAGAGAATTACAAACACAGCATTTTAAACGTTTAAAACTGTTGATGTTGGTAATCAGCTCCAGTTTAGTTGACGATCATCTTAGTAGATTCACACGAGATCGCTAATTCAGTTGAAGACAAGGTATTTCGCAGTTCAAACAAGAAACGAAATCACGCGAAAGCCAAAAGCTTGAATTTCGTGTCGAGGAAAACGCAACTTGAATTTATGTTTTTCTTTCATATTTTTTTTCACCCAGTATTCGCCAAGTAACATAAGTATTCACGTTATGTTATACCTACAAACTACGCATCCTTTTAGGAAGATCTGAGTAATATAAATTAAAATCACTCCAATGCGATTTTAAATGCATCGTCTGGTGTTTTTTTCACTGTACATCTGTTTCACTGATCATCCAAACGATCAAACGAAGCAAATAGAGGGCTTTTCGTGAGCAGAAATGCAAAGCTGTCTCGCTTCTGAAGATGACTGCCCACTGTTTCTAAAAATGTCTCTCAGGTTGCAACAACTGATTTCCAAACTAATTTGCAGCTCATTAAAGGTTTTACTCAAGTGCTTTCAGTTGTTTTACTGTTTACATAAGAATCTTGAACAATCTCGAGTTCAATTATGCAAATGTAAAACTTGTGTTAAGGTTGATTAACATACGAAACACGTAACACAAACACGACTTCGCAACTGAGAAAACCCACGTTTTGCATGCCTTTTATATCAAGTTTCGCCTCTTTTATTCCTTGTTTCAGCTTTTCTTTGTTTCGCTTTCAACTGCCATCCGTGCGGCTTTCGTAACATGTAACATGCGTCAACTCTCGAACCTTTTTGGCGAAAAAATATGGAATTGTTTCCTTTCGAATTAAAATAAACATTCGTAATGATTGTGCAGGGAAACGAGAATAGCAAAGGAAATGAATGGCCTTTTATTTACGGATATAGTTTCAAATTAACAGAAATCTAACCAAGTTACCCGCTTTGAATACAAACTACTGGTGCACTTGATTGAACTTTCCATGTGTTGTTTAGAAAAGAGACCAATGCAAAGTAAGGTAACTTAAGTTTCAATTTTAATCAGTTTAGGATGGTGTGATTTGTCTTGTGATAAACTGTAGGTGTTATTTTAGTTTCCTCTTACATTGCGGTTGGTACTGTTAGTTATCAATCCCAGAAAAATAGCTTTAAGACAAGAGCACGTCGCCGTGGAAACTCGGGATCCCCGGTTTGCTCCAAGTACTTGAGTTTAAAGGGTTTTTCATCGGGATTTGTTGTTCTTGGGAATTAGTGTCAATCGTTTCATGTTCAAAATCCTTGTAACCGCAAATTTCATGACCCAGATCTTGACATTTTAATTCACTGCTATAATGAAAACATTCGGCGGAGGAAGATATGCTGAATTTCAGCCCATGAAACGGTAACTTAAGTTGCTCTAAAACCCAATGAGAGTCCTTTCGGGGCCACCAACAGTTCTTCATGTCTTAGTGTCACTATGCTGTCCGACAATTAGATTAGTTTTGAATGGTACCCACCAAGACAGCTAATTAATTACTTCAGGTCTACAACATATGTCTTTTTTATCTTTATGAAAAGCTATCAATGTATCTATGTAGACTGATATGCTCGAAAGATCCGTAGTACGATATGAGAAATAACACCGAGCAGAGCTTTCTTTCGCTTTCCTTCTAAGATAGTTGGCTTTGTAAAGAATGTCGTGATAAACTGTTATTCACACCATATTGTACCGCTGAGATCTATCTCAGTCTCAACTCTTGGTGGGATTTGTTATTCAAGGATGGAAATTTAACCTGATATATCCGACAAGATAGGAGCAGGCATATAACAAACCTGTTCCCCGTGTGGAAAATACATTTGTAACACGTCAAGGTTAGTTAACCCGAACTCACTGCCTTCGTGGTTGAAATTTTCTCGACCGACTTTGCTTCTGTTTTCAATTAAAGTCAAGTTAATCCTCCCAGAACTTCGGTGAGCCTGGTTTAGGACACGAGGGACGTTCGGGAAGATCAAAATCAGGAGTAACGGGAATCTCAAGGGGTGGCAAAGTTCGCCCATGTCTTTGTCGTTCGTGTTTGGTGTAACACGAACTTTGCTCTCCTTTCCACGTGAACGGGGGAATGTAGAACTCTTTTAAAGACGAAGGAGGTTGAAAATTACTGTTCACGTCTCCTTTCGATGACCATAGATATTTTGAGTCACTAACCAGCTCCTTGCTATGCTCAATGTCGGAATTGAGAGCCGGACCAGTTTCATTTTCAAATGTTTGTGTTAGGAATGTTCCATTTGTTCTGTCGCAACTTGTTGTTTGTAGTGTCGTGGTGTTGTTACCACTGTCTCCTATTGCGGGTAAAGGAGTCCTCTGATGAATTTGTGGCGCTGAGAGCCGATCATTAAACTCCTTTTCTCGTCGAAGCAACTTTAGCAACGCTTCAGCTTCGGCATCTTTCACTTTACCCCGCATGGGAATTCTTGCGCTCTCCATGACAATATAAGATCTCGACGCTCTAGTTGACTCTTCGACTCTTGCACGTTACCCGGCTTTTAGACGCTAAACGGATCTTATTGAGTTTTTAACTGTCGTCTGTTTTGAAACTCAAAATCCCATCCCTGTCGCTTGAATTTGACGGAAAGGATTTCACAAGCGCTTGTTAATCACGGACTCTCTACGATGACTGCTGGCAACGGCAGGTAAATTGAATCAACAATCTTAAGAAAACATCGGGATTCGGCTGTTAAACGCGCGCGCCATTGATCAATGACAACAGCTGTCACCTACGCTTCGCCATTGGCGTACGCTAATTGTATGTTTTAGTCGCAATTAATATTCCTGTTCGAAGCCCTCCACAAAAGATGCGAAAAATAAGCTATTTAATGAAACCGCGCTGAAAATGTCAACAGAACGAGAGTTTCCGCCTAAACCTTTTCTTTTCGCCATTGTCTCGCCCTATGTTGGCTGTCAGGGTTAGATTGACAAACGCCGCTCTGCACTGAGCCAACAGATTAACACTGTATTATTTTCTCTAACAAAATCTGAAGTGTACTCGCATATTGGGTATTTTAGCTTCATGCTGAGGACGGTAGAAAGGTAGAAACACGAGCATATTGAAACAACCATCTCCCAGAGAGAAGAGAAGTTTGCGCGGGAAAAGAAACAAAAATTAGTCTCCTACAAAGAGGTAAGTTTGTGAATATCTTTCTTCCACTGAGGCTAATGAATATCAGTTTCCATTCACGAGAGGAATCCGACATTTTGGAAACACATGGCATCTCTAAGGTTTCGAAAATTCATGATTTAAGCGGGCAAGGTCCAGTTCATGATAATCTTCACGGCTAAACAACTATTATTAATCGCCTGTTCCCATAATGTGTGCCTGTCACCAATAATCTGGGTTAATTCCTGGAAGGTAAAGTTCATCTCCTTGCAATATTCCCAGTTACAGCGGACAGAGTCCTTTGCATTGTTTTGGATGACAGTAAAAATCACTTACTTCTTATCAGAGAAGATCTTGATACAATCTATTCGCAATGCAAGCTACTGACTAGAGGACACTGAAACTGCGATTTGCCACAGCGTCCCGACTGTTAAAATAGTTACAAGGGCTTTGTACGTATGTTCAACCGCCAACCAAATTCCGTTCGGTGCCCAAAATGGGGCTGATTGAAACGATAGCGGTTTACAACCTCAGCGACAACATTCTAAGCCTTTTAGATTCAAACAAGAGATCAAAGGTTTATGCCTGATTATTCTTCCAGATCATCTTAATTTCAAACACGTATTGATAATGTTGATAAAAAGGAAAGTCCATAAAGATGACCGACGCAATGATTTTTCATTTTATTTTTTGATTGCCAAATCAACCATAAAAGAAGGACTACAAACCAAAGAAAATAGATCTGGCAATAAAGTAATCCTTAATAAACGATTGGATAAAATGGAGGAATTTAGATAAAATGGCCCACTAGCGCTGATTTTAAATATGTTAAAAACGCACATCACAAACGTTATAAATGGAAAGAGAGCCTTAAAAATCCATTTGAAAAATTATGTATAATTTAAACTTCTTGGCGCCTTCATTTCGGCCTTAATCGCATTTTTTTAAAAGTGCTAATGAATTTTTAAGTTAATAATTTCTTGCGAAGGTAAGCCATTGTTTTGATCTAAATCGTGTGAACAATTAACTGTAAAACAGACACATGGTTTCTAGGAAGGGCTTCAAAAACGACGGCAATTAATTTCGAACAAAGGAGCTGAGGTGTAGATTTGTAAAAAGGCGCATTTAACCTTCGATAATATGTGCGAACGACGAGTCAAGATCGTAGAAGTGCTTTTGGACAATTCTAAATTAAAATCTTAATTTTATCTTGTCAATCGATTTCGTGTGTATGTTCACAACAGTTGTGATTTCAATTAACTTCCACAGTTTCCAATTTCCGTCTGCGAAAGCAATTAAAAAACTCTACTTGAAGGACAAACAGAGCAAGCCGTTGGAAGAGGCCAAGGCATTCAAAAGAAGTAAAAACCTCAGTCCTTCTATTTCAAAGATTTTTTAACACTAAAAAAAGAGCACGATTTTTTTCCAGGCGGGCCATTTTGAATAAATGAGCGACACTCGTAGTCTTACAGACATTTTTAAGAAACAACGCACACTTATTCTAACAACAGAGTTTTAAAAACTTTTGGAAATCTTATCACAGTGGTTACTGTATTGGCTGCAAAATCAAAAAGGAATGATCAGGTTATTTAATTTCATAATGTACTGGGGTATATAAACGTTGCCTCAATGTTGATACATGTGGTAGCTGCATTAAAAACTTTCACACACTGTCCTGACAAACTTGGGAGCGAAGGATGCAATATATTCTATCTAAACAATGTTGTGATATTTGTTAATGCGAGGTCAGCAAAATAACTCCCTTTTTTATGAACTTTATCGATTAGCAGCCGCGGAAAAGCTGCTGTTGTTATTGTTGCCAATTCAAATTGTTTGCCTGATTTATTGTTGGGGTTCTCGCGATTGCCGTATCGGGCACCATTCCCACTAACCCAGTAATGATTACTCGGCAAAATCTCGCGACTGATCGACGAAAAATCACAAAAACATACGATGGATTACTCGGCAACGAATGCAAAGCGACGATTTATCAGCAGCCCTTTAGAGCATTGATGAAAACTTGCAATCAAGTTTCCTGAGTATTCATTGGTTTACGTGGAAAAACCTTCTTAACACCCAGGATCACTCCGATTCACAGACAATTTACTTTTGGTCAATTTCATTTGATTAAAATTGAACAAGCTAACGTAATCGTCGACGTTAACTTTGGCCTTCAAGCGCGCCATTGCGGCTAATTGTGGAAATAGTTCACAGGCCAACAAGGAAGTGACCGATTCGTCGAACTGAAGGATCTCCTAAAGAAATATGAAGACAGTGATGTTGAATACTGTCTAAAGTCTCGTTTCGTGCTCCGCTTATGTGTCTCTTAAGATTAAAAATGCAAATTAAAGCGTGTTGAGCAGAATTAGGGTTACAGTCAACAAGTCTGATCAAAATTTTCAACGTAATTTCTCGTCTCGCTAATAAAAAGGCTCTGAATTAAATAACTCAGAATTTTACCCGCCTTCGAAAACTTCTGCCACCTGTTTTCGATTACACATCATAACTAATGCTCCCTTGAAACCGTGCGAAAATAATTCCACCGGAGAGTTCGTCAAACCAAGTTGCAAAGGAGTTTAGTGTTGCATTTCAATTGGGTCGGCGGCATTCGTAACCTGTAAATAGAGGTGCGAAAACGTTGAATCTTAACCGCGGTAAAAAAATTAACATCGAACTCAAAATCGAACACAAAATGAAGATTCTCAAAAAGTTAAAGGCTCGTCTTTTTACGAGCTACCATTCTGCAAACGGATGTAGTTGTAAAAATAGTGGAACCAGAGGTGTAAATTAACGGGCCCGAAAGCTGTTCTGTTTCCATTCAAAATGGGGTTTCGAGAAACTCCCAGTAAATTAACGGGCCCGAAAGCTGTTCTGTTTCAATTCAGAATGGGGTTTCGAGAAACTCCCAGTAAATTAACGGGCCCGAAGCTATAATAAGGACTAAAATTTAAAGAACGGAGAAGCAGGTTCTGGCTCCCTGACCAGATCATTTTGTTTCTTTAACTGAAAATTTTATTTTACAATTTAAAAAAAAAAATGTAAGGCCTCATCTAGAAAGAAAACAGCGAAGCTTTAAGGGTCCGATAAGTTACCGAGATCTTTAAGAAACGGCCCCTAGTCCCATTATTTTCTAACGATCTCTTAATTCAAAGTTCCCAGATAACAAAAACAACGCGATAAAATTTCAGCATAATATGCAACTTATCGCTTGGGAGACAGCTTAAGGTGTGACGGGCAGTTTCAAATGGTTTCCAATATATGGCTTCCTGGACTACGAATTTTTAAAAGCAAACAATGAAAACGAAAGTGGCCGGCTTTGATTACATTGTGCGACGAGTTGTTAGTTGTAGAACTGAAAAAACATTGTTTTCAATTACTATTATTCCATTAGCTTTAAAGCGTGTGGCTTTGAAGGCTTTCCTTAGCTAGACCTCCACTGTTTCCAACATAGTAATATCTTTCCGAAAAGCAACATATTTTGTTGAGAGTATTCTTAATTTTTTCATCCGGACAAACAGAAAAGGAAAGTGTTAATAAGTTAGGGTCGGAAGTGACAACAGTACGAAAACGTCATAACAAGTTGTGTCAGAGAGGAAATAATTAAAATGAAATTTTGAATTTCTACGCGTTATTCAATGCACTCGTGCACGTGCACATGTCAAAAGGTAAAACGTTCATAATAGAGACTTGAAATATTTTGGGAATGAATGCGCGATCACTTTCTTGTTTCAAAGAACTTCTAAATATTTGCTTCCTTATATCTCACCGCAAACACCCGGAAAACTATTGTAATAAAATTGCAACAAATATTGCGCGGTGTCCCAACGAAGGGATTAAACTTTAATCATAGAGTGCAGGTGCATATCAGAGGCGATAAACTTTGTTTTCTTTTGGCAAGGGCAACGCTTTACTTACGAGAATTGCCTACATCAGTAGACAAAAAATCAAGGAAGCCTAAACGAAAATCTAGAGATTTTTGCAGGACTTTCACCGCTATCTGATGAAAGAGTCATTCTACTATTGTGAGTATCAACAATTTTATTCTTTAAGTGTCTAAAACGGTTCTTTGGTGCCAATTACGATGGATTGGGTATCGATGAAGGCCGGATAGTAATGTCAATTCAGTGGTAATCTGTTGAAAGTGAACTTTAAATTTTGAACATTTGAAGAACGCTTACGCTTTCTGACGCCAACCTTAACTTCCGTGATAAGATTTCAAATAAACATGTACCTACAAGAACACAACAAATAACGATATGTATAGGTAGAAGGGGATGAACTGCTTTCACGAAAAGAGTTTGAAAGTGATTTAGAGGCCTAAATATGAACAAGCTATTAATCAATGTTTCCGTTTAACCCTAAGGTAACATTCATGGTGAATTCATGAAGTCACGTTTCAGCGAATTCACAGTAAAATTTTTGAAGTTGATCAATATGCAAGATAATTTTAGTTAAACTTTCATTAATTACAAGGTTTGATTAGTCGCTGTTCGAATTGTCATGTGACATTACTACCGAATTATTTAAACTCTTGCTTTTAATAACATGTATCACAAGGACTGAACAAAAGACTTTCTTATCAATAAATCAGTCCGTTATCATTTACAAATGAAATATCATTACTATTATCTCATTCCAAAGTTTTAAATTGTTTGCGAGCTGAAAGTGAACCAATCCATTGTTACTGACATACGAGTCAAAATCTGTCAAGTCGAAGACAGCTGACTTTATGCATAATAAGGCTAGTTTTAACGACTCAAAAACTTAAATTATGGACGCGCTTGGTATGCAACGAATCAAAATCGTACTTGTCTTAATGGTTCCTAAGTTATATCATGGACGATTGAGTGTTTATTTCCCTTATATAACTTTTTGAAGCGTTTACTATGCAATAAATCAATATATATAGCATGGTAGTCCTGGGGTAAATCCGTGTCTTCTGATTGGTTTATACTAGGTCAGTAGTTTGCCATGCGGGAACAGTCATCAGCCGTGTATTTTTGGTCGCAAAAACCTGCA